ACATAGATTGGAGGGTTTTACTTTTCATGGAATCCTGAGCTGACTGAGACCTTGTGTGCATATTCTTTTGAGCCCTACATAGATTTAGAGGCTGTCAGAGTTATTTTTCATATGTAACAGGTTATACATTCAATCTACTAGGTTATAGAATTATTTTATTACTCATTTCATTATTTCCAGTTATTAATTTCTAACTTTCATTTCCATTTTAAGCATTAGCCATTTTTATTTTAGGGCTGTTTTAGAGCAGTCTTTCTCTCCTCAAAAGCAAAATCATTTGCCATTCTCATGAAAGGAAGAATGACAGTCCATTAGGATGCTGGTGATTGCAAGCAACCCTCACCAACTAGGCTGTTCACTCCCATCCCTTTCTAAGACCATCAATATAGCTGACATAATTACTTAGTTATACAGAGGCTCAAAATTAACATGTACAATATTAGCTCTTGAATTGGCTCCATCTCAAATAAAGACATCCTTCTCCAGTCTCTATCATGTCATTAAAGGAAAAATATAAATACAAAATTACTAATAAATCCTGCTGTGATTTTTGAGTATGTGTATGAGTTTGTGCATATATGTGTGTTCTTGTATCTGTGCATGTATGTGGGAGGAGTATGTATGTGCATGTGGAGGCCAGAGGACAACTTATATGTTGTTCTTCACACACTGTCATCCTTTTCTTTGAGTCCAGTGTCTTCCACTGGGCTGGAACTTGTCAAGAGAGCCCCAGGGATCTGCCTTCTTTGTCTCCCCAGAGCTTGCATAACTATTGTGATCCACCATACATGCTTACCTTTTTATGTGGATATTGGGGATCAAACTCAGATCCTCATGCTTTTACTGCAAACACTTTTGTTCACTGAGCTGTTTCCTCAGTCCACTCCTGCTGAATTCACCTTATAAGTAAATCATTCTCAGAGTATCTCCACCCTGGTAGCATGGTCATCTCTAGAGTAACAGATTGCTCTCAAATTTCATTGCTTCTCCTTGTTCCTGTCTATTGTTGACAGCGATAACAAAGTAATCTTTTCCAAATTCAGTCATGTTATGTCATACGTAGGCTCCAATCCTATTCATGAGCTCCCTGTCTCACAAAGACTACAAAGGAAAGTCCGATGTTCAAGGTCTGCTCCTATCTCCCTGCCCCGTGAACACTCTGCTACTTTCCTTCTGGCTCAGTCTATTCTAGAATCCTTGGCTTCCTTGTTGTTTTCAGATAACATAGGCTTTTGTTTCAGGACTTTAGCCCCAATGCATATCCAGAATAATTTTTCACTGGATATCTATGAATTTAACTTGCTTGTGGTCTTTAAACTTTTGTTCAAATCTTTACCTTTCTAATGTGACTACCCTGAACACTCTTTTAGAACTGCAACCTATTCTGTCATCTCCTGATCTTTACTTTTAGTTTTTATTTTTCCAACAGCACTTATCATTTTCTCACATGCTATATAATTTTCTTGTACATCATTGTAACTTACTATTGTCTTTTTCTCCTTGATCAAATGTAAGCTCCTCAGGGTCTGGGCATCTGTTGCCCCTCATTCCGATTTTTGTCTGTTTCTTCATCTAAAATGCTGTTATATTATATGTGTTCAATAAATCATTCTTGGAAAAAATAAATTATGTTCTGTAATTAAACTTCTTAGTGATTGAGAATAACCTCCATTAACTGATGTGTGTTATTTGTAGTACTAGGTCTTAAAATGACTTATGTAAGTTTATAGCTTAGATAGGAAGTATTCTCCTAAAGGCTCATGTGTTGAACCCTTGATTCTCAACTGATGGAGCTATTGAGAAATGACTAGATCATAAGAATTCTAACTTCGGGCTGGAGAGATGGCTCAGTGGTTAAGAGCACTGGCTGCTCTTGCAGAGTACCTGGGTTCATTCCCCAGCACCCACATGACTGCTAACAACCATGTGTAGCTTCAGTTCCAGGGGATCCTTTGACCTCCTCAGGCATTGCATGACGTGGATGCACCAACCTACATGCAGGTACTCATGCACATAAATTTTTTAAAAAATAAATTCACACTTCATCAACCCATTAATTAATTGTTGAGAAGGCCCTGTTTGGATGAAGAAGGTCACCGGGAGTGTGCCTTTGAAACTTTGAAGGGTATGTCTTATTTCTGGAGTCACTCCATGTATCCCCTCACCTCCTCCCTCTCCTCTTTCCTCTCCCTCCCTTTCCATCTTTCTTTCCCACTCCTCTCCCTTTCTTTGTAGCCGTGACATGAAAAGATTTAATCCTGCTGTGTCTTTCCACCATGGTTGCATCTATCCTACCATAGACCTCACAGCATGGAGCCAGGTCGCCCAGACTGAAACAACTGGAACAACCAAAAACAATCTTCCCTTGAGTTGTTTATTTCAGGTGTTTTGTCACAGTGGTGCAAATCTGACAAACACAGTGAGGGGAAAGCTCCAACTGCAGCTTAGGTTTGATTAGGAACAGTGGACTAGGAACTCATCTTGGATAGCTCTGTCCCACTCAATCAGGTCATGTAGAGACGGAGACAATGAAGTAGAAATAGAGAAGGTAAACAATTAATTTAGCCATCATTATTTTCTGATGAATGGGTTGGTTAATTGATTGAATATCTAAACTCATGATCAGACAAAAGGTCACAAAGAATCAATTCAATAGAAATTTTCTAGGTTGACAAAATCTTGTGAACTTTATGGTGAACAAAACCTGTGTGCCATGCTAGAGAAGGGACTAGATAGTATATTTTCCTTTCTGTTTCTCTAGTTGTTTTTCCTACTGTCATTATTTAATTCTTTAAATCCTTTTTTTGTATAGTGTAAATACCTATAAAATACTGTAGTTGAAAGTATAAAATAAAGGAAAAATTAAGAGATCATATCATACTGTATAGACAAAGGACTTGGAGTCTACCCTCGGCTTTGCTACTAACTGTGAAGTGGGTAAGTGAAATTAAAATTCCCAACTTACTTTTCACACAGTAAAATGAGAATAACAACAGTATATGCCTGATGTCATCCTGTCTTGAGGAATAGCACTTTACAATTCACAGTGCCTGTTACCTAGTATTCTGTCCACAAAGAGCCATCTTATAGAGTAACAAAGCACTTTCTGGAAAGAAAAGTACGTGACTGAAAGCATTTAAAGCATATATTACCTTTTCATAAAATGCTCTATAGCTTATACAATGTTAACTAAGTCATAGAGAAAAAATATTATTATTATTTTTAAAAGTTTGGGCTAATGTGAATTTTCACCTAAAATTTATAATAATAGAAAACTTGTAGTTTAAATCTTGGGTTTAGAAAGACTATGCAGACTGCTTTGGACTAAGGTATTGAAAATTCTTTTGCATCTCTCTTAACTGTGGAAATTTTTCTGGTGGCCCTTTATCTAAGGAAGATACATTGTCAGGATTTGGTATTTTGTCCTATTCCGAAGCTAAGAAGGGCCTGCCAGTTTCCATAAAAGTTCCCAAAGGCGTGGGATTCCTGGATCAAAAACAAAAGGTTTTATTACTCAGTCATCAGAGCATGATGGGGGCCTGGGCAAAGCCCCATAAGACCAGTGGCAGCTTCCCAAAGGGCACTGTGCTTCGTAAGCAGTGGGCTTGTTATAAGACTGGTGGATGTCTTTAGGAAAGTTCAGTCTCTTTAAAAGGGTTATTAGCAAACGTACCCAAACTTTGTACTGCAGGAAAATAATGTCTTTGAAACTAGATGTGCAGAAATGCAACAGACCCTTCAAGATTGACTTTAACCTATAGAAATAGAAAGCATCAGTAACACTATTTTGGTGAAGAGAAGGTGATCTTGGAATACGATTCTGATCTTGGGTTTGGACTAGCAAAAAATCCTTTCAAAGGCTTTGTTTGAGCATGCAGTTTATCAGTTGTAGTGAAACCTGGTGTGGATCTGTCCTTCTAGCGGTTTATCACTCTATGCCTTACAGTCACATTCCCATGCTTCTTATCAAGTAGATTTGACTCCTCTTTCAATTTATCCCAGTATTTGTATCATGTTAGCTAACAAACTGTTACCGCTGCAAGAACTGGCGCTTTCTCAACAGTAGCAGGGACATTAGCAATCTTACTTCTTTCTGTAACTTCTGATAAAATTGTTTCACAAGGTTCAGCGTGTTCTTCCTTTGTACTACAGCAGGAGCTTGCTAAATTACTCAGCTCTGCAAGGCTGATTTTCTCTGTTAAAATTTAACTTTTTTTTCCCCACAGCCTTATTTAATCTTTAATATGTTAGGTCTTTTCTTATTCCAAAAGAAATCAAAATAATTTCACCTTGGACTTTTTGTTTTTAACCTAATTCTAAAGCCTTTTTTTTTTTTAAAAAAAAAGTTTATTAATTTTATTTTATGTATATGAGTGTTGTGCCTGCATATAGGTAAGTGCATGTAGGTAACTGTACCCGTGTCGTGCAATGCCCGAGGCGGACAGAAGAGGTTGTCGGACCCTGGAACTGGAGTTATGGACAGTTGTTAGCTGTCATGTGGGTGCTGGGATTTGAACCCGGGTCTTCTGCACGACCCATCAGTGCTCTTAACTGCTGAGCCATCTCTCCAGCCTCCCATACACTAATTTTTGAATCAATTGAATTCTGAAAAAATTGCAAATAGGCTTTTCTCACATTGGGCATCAAGTGGGGGCTCTAGTGTGTGAGTATTCCCCTTGGGGCATAGCCCTGGTCATGGTTTCCAGGTTCTTATGCAGCATGCACATTACAAGAAAGTAACTGTGAGTGACGGCAAAAGATGTAGGAATAGGTTAAAATAAGTCATCAACCAGCCGGTTTGGGGTTTATTAAGAAGAAAAATTCCTGAAGTCCAGGGCCTGAGAGAAACTTTTCAAAGACAGTGGGGAATTTACAGCTGAGAAGGTTTCTAGGGTAGGAACTTCAGTAAGCCAGTAAGAGGGCTGAGCTGGAATCCATGACACAGCCTGTAGCCAATCAAAGTGGAGAAGGCGGAACAGGGGCGGTCTCCGGCCTTGGGAGTGGATTCAGAGCGGGGCCAGTTCCCGAGAGGCTGAAGGTGCTTTCTGCCCGAGGTGCACCTGCGCCCGCACCTGCTCCTTGTTCGCTTCAGCGCGGACATTGACTCCACAAGTGCCGCGTGACTCTTGATCGGCTACCATGGCCTACCCGGGATACGGAGGAGGGGTAAGTCCTCACGGGATGTGGCGACCCTGCGGCAGTGCCACGGAGCGGGGTTCATCCTCTCCCTGGCATTCTCCTCTGCCTGGTACCAGGCGATATTCGGACTCTGTGTGGTACTAGAAGCTGGGGCTGGGCAGGGGCAGACGCGGAGCAATGTAGAACCTTGAGCTAGGGGGTCTGGTCCCAGCATAAAGAAGTGTCCTTATAGAACCAAGGGTGTGAAGAGTTTGTGTTTTAGACGTTTTGTTTCCAGAAGAAAGGAACAGAATACTGTTCTAGTTCGTTCGAGTTATCATTTAGGATTTACCCTCCCCCCAACCCCGACCCAAGTAGTTTTACTAGCGATCCCTTTCGATCCTTTCTGAGTTTTTTTTGGGGGGGGGGGGACCACTTTTTATTTGTTAAGTTGCTCACGGATAAATTAAGAGACTGCAGTGCCTCCTAAACTTTTCTGTAATATCTAGAGCAATCTGAGTTCTGAGACATTATTTTTGGAGAGGGAAGAATTGTTCTTTCTTACATAACTGTTTGTCTGGCATCACTTCTGAAAGTTTCACGTTGTAATTGCGGCCTGTGGCTAGTCCCTTCCTTTTGAGAAAACAGCCAAACCTTCACTATCCTCATCAGTTCGCCAAAGGGCAACTCGTGCTACTGAATGTGGCTGTGCAGTGATGGCTGCAGTGGGCGGAGGAGGACATATATTCTATGTCCATTCCTGTTTCTTTCTCCTTAAACAGAGAAATTGTGCTTCATTACATCCATTGTAGGAGTTGACACTGGAGTATAATTACCATTACCGTCTTACTCTCCTATCCCTGAGATTAAGATGGGAGTATTTTTTAAGGTAATTTAATTCCTTGGGCTCAACGCATACACCTTACAAAAACGAATTTGCTCAAGATACTTGCCTGGATTCCATTTAGCATCTTGCACTTTCCAATATTTATTTATTCATTAGTCCTTTAAATGTACTAAGGAAGGAGACCTTCAAAGCTTAGTCAAAAGGCTGGAAGGTTGCTTAGCAGTTAAGAAGAGCACTGGATGCTCTTGCAGAGGACCCAGGTTCAATTCCCAGCACCCACATGGTGGCTAACAACGATCTGTAACTCCAGTTCTAGGGGATCCGACACCCTCTTCTGACCTCTGCAGGCACTGCACCACATGGGTGTACTTACATACAAGCAGGCACATACACTCATATACATGAAAAAATTTAAAAAATTAGTCAAGAGAACACAACGTGGTGGAGCTTTGCCCTTTCTATGGCTTCTACATATTTTCACTCCTAAAGCTTTCTGTTAGAATTCTGGCAGTTTTACTTCCATTTGTTTGGTCTGCATTCACACACATCGCAGAATGGAGTGGCCAGAGTTCTAATTCTTCATGGAAGAGTTGATTACTTCCTTACCCTCACTTTGGTCAAAGAGTGCTTCTTTGATGGAAGGAATATATTTTGAGCATTCAAATGTGTTTACCATTTATTTAAACATTAGCAGTTTTTCATCCTAGTCCGAGGCTCATCTTTCGTAGTTAAAAAAGTACCTTAAGCAGGTGAAGCAATATAAATTAGTGACACTGACTGGAAATAATTTAGGGATTGAATACACATGATTGCTTTGCTTTGCGTGTTTCTATGAAATAGTTACAGTCTTTTCAAGCTATTTATCATCAGTCCATACCTTATTATAATATTTGCTATGTTTAACAAAATAGGAAAACATCGTTGATAGATAACTATTCAAGTACATAATTCATGATTCTGGGAGATGAGTTTCCAATACATTTTCATCTGCTTAATAATTACCTTTCAAATTGTAGCTTAAAGTGTAGCTAAGTTGGTAGAGTGCTTACCTAGCATATACAAGGACCCCGATTCTAGCCCCAGAACCACATAAACTGGGCGTGGTAGCCAGACCTGAAATCCCAGCATTTGGGAGGTTGAGGCAGGAAAATGAGGAGTTCAAGGTCATCCTCAGCTATATTGGGGACTTGAGACATTATATAAAACAAACAAGCAAACCCAGATAGGGTCAGCTGAGCCAGTAGCTCAGTAATGTCATCCTAGCCCTCTTGAGACCAGGGCAAAATTGCTGAGTTTGAGGTTGGCCTATTAATGTAATGTGTTCCAGTAGTACCTGAGCTACAGTATAAAATCCTGTCTTCAAGGGCCTGGAGAGGTGACTCAGTGGTTAAGAGCACTGACTGCTCCTGTAGAGGACTGGGATTTGAGTACCTGTACTCACATGGCAGCTAACAACCACCTGTAACTCCAATTCCAAGGGATCTGACACCCCCTTCTGACCTCTACAGGCACTGCACAGCATGGGTGAGCCTACCTACATGCAAGCAATACACTCATATACGTAAAATTTAAAAAACTAAAAATAAATAAATCCTATCTCTAGAATGTCCAGGAAACCAAGTAAGTGTAATCAAATTGAATTTTTTTAATTATTTCTATGCTAATAAAATTATAACTTGACCTAAAGGAACTTTGTTCATTTTAGTCATAGAAAAGAAAAAATCAACTATATGCATATTTTATTATAAGCATTATAGGAGCACCAAATTTTTTTGTGAATTTTAAGCATAAAATACAGGTGAGATATTCATGAAAGAGATAGAATAAAATTTTGTTCAAAGAGTAGCAGAAATGAATGTTAAGGCAGAACTAGTTCATGTGTTTTAGATGGATGGGAGCAAGTAGGTGATCATTATGGTGTATAGAATACAAAAGATTCATTCCAAAGACTTATACAACGTGATTTGTAATCACAAATATTTAAATGTTGGACACTGCATTTACGATAACTGTTTAAGCTTACATAAAAGCTTTGTGATCAACATCAACATGGGGAAAGATCTAAGCTTTTCTTTGGGACAGGGAAGCAGGACATTTAAAGAACACTGATGTGTGGAGCTGGAAGTGTGTGAGCTGGAGTTCTATTTATTGCCTCTTAGTCATCTTGTTTCCCTCTCTGTGACTTACTACAATTGCTCTGTGCTGAGTTCTCTATGGTCACAGTTTACATAATCTAATCTATTTATTTACTCATGTATTTTTTGATGTATTTATTTTTATTTTATGTGTATGAGTGTTTTGCCTGCATGTATGTAAGTGCACCTGTGCATGCAATGCACTCTGAGATTAGAAGAGGCTACCAGATCCCCTGGAACTGGAGTGTGGGATGTTTATGAGCTGGGAACTGAACCTAGGTCCTCTTTAAAAGCAGTCAGTGTTCTTAACTGTTGACCCATCTCTTCAGCCTCCAATATAATCTAATTTTGATTGATGTTACTATAAAAAGAAAAGGACAAATAGTTTGAAAATTTCTGAGAAGAGAACTGAGGACTGATGATAATACTGAAAAGTTAGCAATGCAAAAATGACATGCAAATGGCATGGCTGACATTTGAGCTTTTCTTCAACCACATTACCAGATCATAACTGATGATTATTAGTTTTGACTCATTGGAAGCATTCATGAAGACAAGTGGAAGGATGAATTCTGGTGAACTATTTCCGAAAGTTAAACTTTCTGGCTAAGACCTCATTTACTCTGCACTTGGGCCCTTCCCATGGCTTTTAAAGCTTCTTTACAACATCATAGCCCTGTCCATGAGAAAGATAGACTGCCAGTCCTCTTGAAAACTTAAGCCTGGAGTGAACATAGTGCTGTTTCTATTGTCTTCTTCCAGGTGAAGTTGAAACAGGCTCAGCACAAACTCAAGGCAGACATTTGGGAGAATGGCAGAGAATTTGCAACCATTTTTTATCTCTTCACAAAGACTCTTGGTTTACTGGATTTGGGAAATTAATGCTGCAGAGTGTTAGAGAAGATATAGAAGTTATTCTCAAGGAAGAATCCTCATCTGATATTTTCTTCCTGACTTAGGGTTGAAGAACAAGTTTGTAGTATAGGTCCTTCAGGCAGAAATGGAGGTGCTGGGGAGCAGGGCCCTCACCTTTTTGGGCACCATTCTCCACCAGCTTTTCACTAATATGTTTATATTTAGTTTGATTGTTTTCATTCCTTGCCTCAGTTGTCCTCTGCAGAACATGGAACTAAAAAGATCAGGTGTCTGACTGCGCTGAAAGCAGAAGATGCTCTGGGAACTTTATAAATCACCTCTTTCAACTTTCTGCCCTATCTCTAATATTGGCACTAGAAGTTTCTCCTTATCTGAAGTCATAAGCTTTTTTAAAACTAACATTTTATGAAACTTTAATTTTCAGTGTGTAGGATTATAAAATTATCCTACTGTGTAATTATTACAAAGAGGTGTGTTTTTCCCCTTGAGTCAGCTTTTGTAATTTATATAAGTTCTAGTTAATCTATACTTTAAAATATAAAAGTGTGAAAGAGTTCATAGCTTTTATTTATGGACATATTTGTTTTTGTATTAAAATATGAGTTTCTTTCAAATTCTGTTTGTGTTTCTGCATCCCTCTCCAATAGTGCTCCTGAAACTGGCCAGTCCTTTGCTAGGTATTCTTTTCCAAAAAATGATGTTTGGGCTTTAAAAATGGGCCCAGTTTTACTGTTTTCTGTTTCCTTTCTTATTGCTCTATACTTTAGCTTTGACCCCCTTCCTGAATGCATTGCCACAGCTCTAGGCTCCTTCATGCTATAGGCCTATACTACACCCCTTAGGGCACTGTGCAATCTACAAGTAGGTTCCTAAGTCATGTCTTTGTTGCTTCTGAATTCTTGTAAATATTTTCTTTTTCTGCCTTCTGGCAATCTCTGCTCACCAAGCAAGGATGCGGGTCAAGATTGCTTTTGTTCAAAATTGAATAATGTAGCAACCTTAATGCTTCTTCCTTCTCTGGACTCATAAAATGTGAAGTAAGTGCTTTTCTAAGGCATTCAAATATATACCAAGTCATAAGGTGAAAAGGGAGACACTATAGCCAAACAGTCACTAGCCTCTAACATCAGACTGTATTTGAATTTCTGGTCTCCTTAGTAGCTATTTGACCTTGACTTATTCAAGAAACCCTGAAGTGTCAAATCCTCAAATGCAAAAAGGACATATTTTCATATATCCCAGACTTGTAAAAATCAACCTAAAAGAAAGTATTTAGAATGGTACTTGGGATATAAAACTGCCACTAATGATCATTCGCTGGCCATTATTAGGAGTATTGGTACTGTAATTTTTCATGTTTTTTCAGAAAAGAACTTTTATTGGAATTATCACATTATTAATTTTCTCCTTGCCCATGTGATTTTTGAAAATAAGTCTCCTATGGTGGAGGTTGCTTCAGAGCTCTGATTTTCTCTGCTCCACTGACTGTATTTACCATATATTCAACAAATATGTTCCCTGAAGTGTACTTCTTAGTGTAGTATATGTGAAACCCTGTATTTTCCTTTATGTTTATATTTGCTTTTAGTTTTGCTTCAAGTTACATTTGGATTTTTCTTCTGCTAAAAGTTCTTAGAGGCAAGGGGCTGGAGAGATGGCTCAGGGCTTAAGAGCACTAACTTCTCTGGCAGAGGACCCCAGTTCCCAGCATCTACATCAGGCAGCTCACAACTAATGTCTAAGTACAGCTCTAGAGGGATCCAATGCCTATGACCTCTGTGAACCAACACTCAAGTGTCTCCCCCCCCTCACATATTCACATAATTAAAAGTAAAAATGAAACCTTTTTAAAAAGTCTGTAGTAAAGACTAGGAATTTATCTTTTACTCTTTTAATGTTGGATAACATGCTGATGAACTATGTTTTACCACAGGGCTTAGCGGCTTCTAGTTAAAGCTTTAGTGACAGACATGTTTGAAAATTTGGTAACTGAATTTTTTACTTTTCAGGTGGTTCCTAATAAATATGTTCTGAGTAACAAATTTAGTGGCTCAACTGTTTTGTTATTAGCCTTCTCTTTTGCTCCAACAGTTTGGGAATTTTGAAGGTCAGATGCCAGGGATGCAGATGCAAATGGGCCAAGCAGTGCCGGGAGCTGGTCCTGGCATGGTACCTGGTTGTTACTCTGGATACCAGGCATACTCTGACAGGTACTCCCAGGCTGATGACCCTATGTGGGCTTACTTCACTGCTGTTGCTGGACAGGTGAGATGCTAAAACTGTTGCCAAATATTAGCTATGCAATGGTTGCTATTTCCAACAACTACCAGTAATTCACTTACTGTATCATTTAATATGTTGACAAAATTTATGGTTTTAAAAACAAATTATCGAGAGAGCCATACTGTTCTTGAGACCAAAGGTGAGGGCATTCGTAGTTGTTTCATTTATTTACTTTTATTGAGTTTGTTCTTTCACATTTTCCTACATGCATAATATGTATTCAGTTTATTTTAACCTCCCAAACTCCCTCCCACCTCTGTGACCTTTCACCTCCTTCAAGTCTGCTTCTCACATTCACAACTTTGTTGTTGTTCATGCTTTCTAATAAAAAAATATAGTTTATTTATTATTTTATCTTATGTGTTTGAGTGTATCGCCCTCGTGTATGTGGGTGCACCCATATCCTGCAGTGATTGGGAAGATAAAAAGAGAGTGTTGGATCTCCTGGAACTGGAGTTACAGCTTGTTAGCCACCATGTAGGTGCTGGAAACCGAACCTGGGTCCTCTGTAAGATTACCCAATGCTCTTAACTGCTAAGTCATCAGTCATCTCTCTAGCACCCCCCAACTTTGTTTTAGACTGAGAGTCTGAACAGGGTCATCTGTTTCATTTTTGGAAGTCTGTTAGTCTGACAGCTAGGATATTGTTTAATTGGCTGAAAAGTGCCATATTTTCAAAGAGGGAAAATCTGATTCTGTCTGCCGTAGTATACTTCCTGCTGTGGCTGGATATAGTTGATTCTCACCAAAACTCTTGCGAAAATGTAATTAATTGCCAGTGTGATGCTATTGAGCAGTAGTGGAGACCCTCAGGGGTAATTAGATCATTGGGAGTCCATCCTCATGATAGGATGAATGTGATTCAGTAGATGATTCAAACTCAAGCCACTCATCTCTCCTCTTTGCACATGTGACTCTCTTCTTCACATGTTAATGTACCTTTTGTGCTTTTCTGCCAAGCACAGAGCAGCATGTGGCCCCCTACAGAAACTCAGTCAGTACCTTCTTGGCTTCAGAAATGTGAGCCAAACTAAGTTCCTTTTCTTTGTATTTGTGACAGTTTCAGGTGTTTTGTTATAGCAACAGAAAATGGAATATGTATTCTGAAATTAATCAACAAAGGGCTTCTCTAGTAAAAAAATTCGCCCAAACTTAAGTACTTCAATACTGTTATCTTCTTTTGAATTAGTGAATCTTAAAAATCTTGAATTTTACTAGTATTTTTAACTGTAGTAAAGCAGTAGTTTCATAGACAGAGTACATACCCCTGATTATAAAACACAACTTACTTTCATCTACATTGTATCTATGCAGAGTAGTGAGTGAAGAAAAACGGGCCTTGGTGCATGACATAGTAAGTGAAGTCCACGGGTGGAGTTCAGGCCTCTCCTTACTTTTATGGGACATGTGTCTTTATTCCATTAGAAAGGAGAAGATACTAACATACCTATTTTTTATGTTCTTCAAATTATATTTACATTCCCCCCCCCCGAAGTTTCTTTTTAACCCAACATTTTTTTTTTTCAAGTTTGTTTTCTCTAAGAACTTTGTACTTTTGCTGCACCAGTAACTGCACACCCTTCAAGGTTTGTCTTCTATGTTTAGAAGTGTAGAATTACAAAAAGAAAGACTGAGCTGTGGGCAGGTGGAGTGGAGTGTAGAAGGTACCAGAAAGGGCTGGTACATCAGAAGTAGTACTCTGGGTAGTTTGAGCAGAAGATGTCAAACTACCCAGGATTTATCTCTTGTCATTTAAACTACATTGGTGGAGATTTACCATAGATTCAATTAAGTTTTCTTGAGAGTTTTAACTTAGTGTTGTCTGCTTATTGAATTCTTTGTATCATCATATCTGCACAATGCACTTGTTTGTAAGTGGGATACTTTTTTCTAAAGCTTAGAAATTCTCATTAATCTAATTTTCTAGTAAAATAGCATTTTCCTAATTAAGAGTTAAAGAGGGAAACAGTCTATAATTATGTTTCCTTGAGTACCAGAGGAAATTTTTTTTAATTAAAAAGAGAAAAAAAAAATGCCATTTTCTAATCCTTTGTTTTAACAACGTCTTCTACCCTGCAATAGTTGATCACAGCCTGGTATTTGTGTTTGTATCTCACTGGAGTGGTGTTGACTTAAGCTATCAGACTTAGCTAATATAGTCCTTTACTGAGCATTTCTGATCAGAACACATTAAGTGTGTATTGATGAATTATGACTCTTGAAATATAATACTGACTTCAAACATTTATTGCAGGATTTTTAATGGGCGGATAGGTAATTTGTGGTTGAATAAAATGTGATGGAAAGCCCTCCTAGTGTGCATGTCATTGGAGGAAAGTGTTTCTAACCTAGCCTCAGTCTTAAAAATCTGACTAATTTTTCTTAAAGCGTGCTTGTTTGTCATTGTTGAATTCATACTTTAGTAAAGATCTTTAAAGTATGTATAACAGGAAAGTAAAGGCAGTGCTCCCCTAACGGGAATGCTGAGAATATGCCTCAGTGGTTTTTTTTTTTTTTGGTTGTTTTTTTTTTAATACACAAAATTTTACCATTTATTATTATTATTTTTGCTTTGAAAATCAAATAAAGCAAGATCCTTTTCAAACTTTTTTTTGACAGCTTTGTACATTTTTTTCTAATTTTTTAAAAATTAATTTATTGAGAATTTCATACATCCACATAAGGTGTTTTGATCAAATCCATGCCCAGTCCCTCCCCTCCAAGTCCTGCCATATCTTCCTATCACTTTTTTTCTGACAACTTCATGTACTCTTTCTTCTTCTTTTACCTATTTTTTTATTTTTATGGGGCTTTTGGCTAATCTAACATTCTCCCCTCTGAAGAGGTAGCCTTAAAATCTCTTAAGGATTAGATACAAGCTCCCAAATACTTTCTACAGTTTTGGTCTTTGGAACAAAGTATGTTGCTAAAAAGTCCAAGGACATTTTGACTTTTAGCCAAGAAAGTAGCTACTTTTCTTTGGCGTATTTTTACCTTAACCGCCTAGAGATTCTTATCTCCTATTCTTATCACACCATCCTCTGAAGAGGTTACCCAAATTACCAATAGGGAACAGGGATGCTGACCTCTCTGGCTTCTTCCATCCTGAACAGGGACACAGAGTGAGACAATTGGAGTACACTAATTGGAGACCTAGTGGGTCTATCTAAAAGACTCCCATAACTCTTAGCTCTAAGGGGAAAAGAAAGTGAATTGTGAATAGGAGATGCGAAGGAGAAGTAAAGGCAAGAGTAATTAGCATTACAAGTTCTAGACAGGGAACTAAGAAAAAGTCAGAACAGGGCAAATTTCAAATCAAAAAATTCCAGTGGACATCTCAGTGGTATTTACCTCTGCATGGGAACACTGGACTTGTTCTTGGGATTTATCTGAGTGCTTGCAGTACTACTAAGTACTTTGTAAAAGTCTCTCTCTCTCTCTCTCTCTCTCTCTCTCTCTCTCTCTTGTTTGTTTCTTGGTTCTTTTGAAGCACATATATTAAATTTGTCCCCTTGGTCCTTTCTCACAGTTGTTTTGTATCTGTGCCAGTGTTTATGATGCATCAAAGTCAAGTGCTTCACTGTTGAAGTAGTTACTTTTCTCTTTGTTGTGACAGAATATCTGACAGAAACCACTTGAGGATGGCAAAGCCTGTTTTGGCTCACTGTTTTAGAGAGACTCTAGTCTATCACAGCAGTTAAGGGTACAGTGGTGATGGAGTATGGGAGCAGTTACCCATGTGGTATAGACCAGGAAGCAGAGAAACCAGGTGGGAAGTAGTAGGTATAATGCCAAAGACGTGCCCCAAAGTCTGATTCTGCCATCCAGGCTCCATCTGCTAAAGGCTCCAGTCTTTAAAGCTACATCTGAGGGCTGTGCATTTCAAGTACCAAACTGGTTCCAGATTCAAAACCCAACATTTCTGTGTTTTGTAAAAACAGGATTAGGTGCTGAAGAGTGATGAGAATGTTCAACTTGTATTTCCTCCCAAATTCACAATAATGCTGGGACAAGTCAACAGAAGAACAGCATTAAAATACAGAGGGCTTTGTAATCTTATTAGAGGTAATAGTGAGGGGATAAAATGATATTTTCCTTTTAAAGTGTCGCTATACCATCTTCCTTCAGAAATAATCCACCCAATAAGCATGAATAAGAAAGTTTTTGATATTTTCCTAGAAATCTTTTAGGTAGATTCTAACTACTTTGGATAAAGAGACAAAGCATTTCACATTATTTTGAAAATGGACAAGAGATCGGGATGGTGTAGCTTCTCAGAAGCAAAGAAAATGGTTCATAAACCATGTGAAATGCCTTTGCTGGGAATGCTCAGCTGCAACATTTGTGGATGATGATGTTTTGAAAATGGAATACTTCTAGGTTGTCCTGAGCTGGTCAGTTAATATTTTAATGCTCTTTGATATTGATGCAGTTACAACAGGTGGTTATTGCTTTTTAACAGGATGGTGAAGTGGACGCTGAAGAACTTCAGAGATGCTTGACACAGTCTGGAATTAGTGGAACTTATGCTCGTGAGATGTGTTTTTTTTTTTTTTCTTTTTGTTGAATAGGAAGTGGAAAAGTAAATTAATGTCTAGTATTTTTAGTACCAACCCTAAAATACTAAAAATATTGTAAGTTCTACTTGTATACAGTTTAAAGAGTCAAATAGTGCTATAAAACTTATGCACACTTCTGACTTTCTATTACTCATAGGAAAGTCAATGTTTCATAAAGTAAGCTGATTGTGAAATTTGCTTCCAGATGCCAAATGTCATGGTTTTAGCATTATATATTTCACTATGATGATTATCAATTAATGTCCTGTTATAAAAATGACTATTTAGCTGTCTTCCCACTTTTACCTCACCCCATCCCTCCATGTGAGCGTGTTTGCATCCTCAGGCCTTCGGATGTGACTGTATCACATGTGACTGTATCTGGGGTCCCTGATCAGCATTTGTCTTACTTTTTCTATCTACTCACTGCTTATAGCTGTGCTTTAACAATGTATGATTTCTTTTCCTTTTTATCTAATTTTTTTTCTGAAATTCCTAGTTGCCATGCAGTGCCTCTTTCTTGCTTGGGAACTTCCTCATGTGCTCTGTGTTTTATGCTTAGCTCTTATTCTTTCACTGTTGTTCTGTAGCACTTTCCCACTCTCTTAAGTCATGAATCCCTTTTACTCTACTCTGCCTACTCTTTTAATTCAGTCAGTTTTCCAACGAATTGTATCATTAACTTATTTTTAAAAAAATATTTTTATTTATTATTATTTATTATTTTATGTGCATGAATATATTGCCTGCTCATATGTAATCGTATCCATGTTGTGCAGTACCTGAGGAGGTCAGAAGAGGGTGTAAGATTTCCTGGACCTGGAGTTATGTATGGTTGTTAGCCACCATGTGGGTGCTGGGAACAGAATCTGGGTCCTCTGCAAGAGCAGATGGTACTCTTAAGCACTGAGCCATCTCTCCAGCCTTGTCATTAGCTTCTTAATAAAAGACTGCATGGGAAGTAAATTTGGGGGACTTTATGTGTGAAAATGATTTCATTTTGTTTCAAGCATTGAGTGACTATTTGGCTAAGTGTGGAGTTCTAGGTTACTAGCCTTTTCCACATGTAATTTCAAAAGATTCTACCTAGACAGAGACAGGAAGGGAACTGAGGGCTTTAAATACTCCTTAAGTAGACGCTCACTCAGTTCTGTGTTATCGATGACTTCACACAGGTTTTCAGAAATACTGCCAATTCTCAGCTCCCACCATGCTCTCAGTATCTCTCTCACCTGTGTGTGACTTGCATTTCTTCTCTGGATGCTTGAAGATCTGTCTGTCCCCAGTGTTCTGACCCTTATAACACCATGCCTAGTGGTCTTGCATGGGGAACTCTGTGGGTGTGTTTAGCCTGGAATCTCGTGTACTTCTTAGTTCTCGGAACATTTATTCAGTGTTGTTTCCTCTATTTTCTCTTTTGGTAATGCCACTTGTCTGGACTGCATCTTCTTCTGTTATCTTTTCGGAGTGTCCTCAACTTTATTTTATAATCCTCCGACTCTTTCATTTCTGCTGGTATGTGCTTAAGAGCCAAGAGCTGGTTTTTTTTTTTTTTCTCCCAAATGTTATTCTTTCTATCACTGTCTGAAATTATTTGTGTGCTTGTTCCTTAGCCTTTCCTCAAAATTGTTTTATTCTTCTAGCTTGTTTGTTTATCTTCCATTTTATTTCCTGGGTGTCTGATGGTGCTTTATTGCTTATACTATATTAAAATGCTGGATATAGGCCCAGCATGGTTTTCTATGGGCTTCCATGTGGGGTGATTTAGCTGGGGAGCTCAGATGTCAGTGTCAGCAGAGATTTCCTTTTGGCCTGGTTTTCCATTGATGTCTCCTTAAAAAGGAAGCAAAGTGTGTTCAAGGTTTTATAAATCTTCAACTAATTTCTTTGTTGTTGGTAATTAGCTCATTTGCATTGTGCCTTGTATTCTTCAGTCCAGAAACAACTTCAGACAATGAAATTCTAGCTTCCACTGAAGTGCAAGTAGGTATGACAGCCATCCAATTAAATGGAGGCAGAGAGGGGATTGAGTCTTTCTTTAATCCTAAAATAGACATCTACTCAGTTCTGATTTTATCTTTACCTTCACTCATGTTTTTGGAGGTACTGCCAATTCTTGCATTTGGAGTTTTTCCAAGGTAACTAATTTCTCAGCTTTTTCTCCTTGTGAATAAACATTAAATAACCCACATCCCTTGACTTTATATCTTGATAAATATTTTTCTGTTGTTTCCTGTGTCATAGTCTTTTCCTATAAGAGTATAAGAGTCTAAGGCTTCTCAAAAAAAATCTATTCACTGTTCATTCCAAAGGGTTGTGGGGAGGAAGTGAAGTCTACTCAAAAATATTTCAACTTTACATACGTGATCCTATACTGAGATTGAAGATATGCTTATTTGGGGCATTTATTATAATCTGGTTAGATTCTCCCACTTCATGGATGTGTATGAAATTAAGTTGGCAAAAAGATAGACTACCATCTCAAAAATTTCTCATAACTTTCAGCAATCCCCAGTAATTTGTGTATAGTCCTGATGGTTCCATTTGTTATCTTTGTGTACTTAGGAAAGTATCTTTCTTGACCTCAATTTCTTTATTTGTAAAGTTAGAAATATTATACATTCGATATTCTTGTGTTAAGTCATGTAAACCCACTCTGATGGTTTATCTTCATTATCAACATGACTGGATTTGAGATCACCTAGGAGACACACTTTTGGGTAAGTTTGTCAGGGCATTTTCAGGAAGACCCACACTGAAGGAAGAGATAGTGAATGGCCCTATCTCTTGCACTAGGGTCTGAATAAAAAGGGAGAAAGGAGAAAACATGATCAGCAGCATTTGTCTGCTTCCTGACTGTAGATAAAATGTGACCAGCCATCTCATGTTCCATTCTTTCTCCTCCATGATGGATTTTATCCCCTCAAAACATGAGTCAAATCAGTCCTTCCCTCTTTAAGTTACTTTTATTAGGTATTTTCTCACAATAATGAGAAAAATAATCCACCCATACTTCCTTATACATGAGTATGCATTGAGATCTGTTGAGCTGTCAGTCTTAGAACAATATAGCCAACAACCCTATTGCAGACTCCTTACTGTACATTTAAAGAAAATCAGACATTGTTATTGAAACAATATTTTCTAAATTTTCTTCAGTGATTTTGAAATATAGCTGATTTAATTTTCATCTTAAAGATTTCAAAATGTCATCAAGCAGCATAAAATAAAATGAATCTAAATTATTTATTTGCTCATTAATATCAAGGAGCTAAAAGTAAGGACCTTGCAGGTTTATCTGAACTGTGCTAAAATATCTTTGTTGAGATATATTAAACTGCTAATTAAATATAATTGTGATAAGGTTTAGAAAAAGTTAATTTTCATGTGGCCTCATTGTAAATAAACATGAAAGTGTTTGTATTTCTGATAGACTCATTTTAAAAGGTGTTTTGTGTTAATTTCTTCCTGTTCTTTATCCCCAAGAAAAGACAGTCACCTGGGTTCAGAGGCTTATCTTTTCTTATTGATCTATTGCACTAAGCCAAGAAGTGATTTACCCCAATACCTTCTCACTTTAAGTCCACTCATTCAAAAAATGGAAGTGGTCACAATTTCTTTGCTGCTGCGTCAGCAATGTTTATTGGTCTCAACTCTTTAGAGTGATATTTAGGAATTTTCCACTGTGACCCCTTTGCCTTTCTGGTGTTCCCATATGTTGCTCCCTTGCATATTCTCTGAGTTCTTCACTCTTTGGGACCTCTGAGTATATTTCCACATTCCTCTTAGCCCCTTGTGATATGAAAACTGAAATCTTTGTCTGCAGATTCCAGACAAAGCCAAGTGCGTCAAATACCTGTGGTGTACCTGTCACAGTCATTTGCAGTTGTTTTGTACCAGTGTATTTCATTATTTTATGGCTTCATTAAGTATGAGTACAAAAATATTTTGTTTTGAAAATGAAGATCATCTTAATTTTACATATATAAATTTGAGAAAAATCTAATAATCAAATATTGAATATATTTTACAGCTTTCAGTTTGGAAACCTGCAGAATTATGATTGCCATGTTGGATGTATCCTTGAATAAAAATAGAAAATATCAGAATATGGAGTTATTGGCTTCTGAACATTAAGCCAGTTGTTAATTATGAATGTCCATGAACAAGTAAACTAGAGTTTAACAGTACTTTATAAGAGCCTATTTGAAGTCTAGACATTTTGATGATTACAGAAAAATCTACTAATATGAGTAGTTAGTCTAACTCTGCAGAAAAAAATGGATATTTTCCAGTCAGTGATTTGGAGTGTAGGGTTAGATAAATTCTACCAGCTCCCAAGACTTATTTTTTTTTTTAATAAAACTATTAGAGAGACTACACAGGAAAAATGGGATTCAATGAATTCAAGGAACTTTGGGCTGCTCTTAATGCCTGGAAGCAGAACTTCATGACCATTGATCAGGACCAAAGTGGTACAGTAGAGCAACATGAATTGAGTCAAGCCATCACCGTTATGGGTAAGAATATTAAAATCCCTTAGAAATCATGAAAGTCACCTTTAATTTGCTAAGAAATAAAGGGATGCTTTTCTACTAGGATGTCCCTTAGTTTATGTTCAAGACTGTTGGTAAATCATGACCAAAGACACTAGCACAGTCATTGTTATTACTGTTACTGAGTCATTTGTGTTTGCTTACTGTAATGTTGAGGACTGAATCCTCATCCTTGGACATACTAGGCATGCACTCTACTACTGAGCGGATATCTTCAGTTCACAAATTTATTTTAACTAAGATTTCTTCCAAAGCTAGTCTTCTATCCATTCTGAATTATTTGAGTATATTTCATTATCTTCTCTAATTGTTAGCACTCACTGGTTACCTACCATTCTTTAGTAAGTTTGTGGACTCTTTAGGTGCTAAAGATGTATCACAGTTAACCACATGTGTCTATATCAGAGTCTAGCCTTTCAACAGCAAAAAAAAAAAAAATCAATCTTTTCATTTTCCTTCTATGTCCTTATATTGACAGTATACATAAAATAGGTACCTAAGTACTTCAAAATGGCAAGACTGCACTTTAGAATGTTTTTTAAAGTGTTACTTTATTTTCATTACACTTTTATAGGCTAAAGTTTTTGGTTCACTTTTAAAGAGTGGTAATATATAAAGATGTTTATCTTGCTTACAGGTAATGCAGTAGCAGTTTTAAGTACTTTCTTGACTTTCCTTTCCTATTCTTATTTTATTCTTTCTTTGTAACAGGGTCTTACTCTGTTTGCTGTACATCCAGGCATGCCTCATATTCACTAAATCTCTAGATGCTTCTAACTCAGTCTCCTGAATGACATGACTGTACGTCTGAGCCTCCATGCCTGGCTTTAAGTACTTTTATTAATTCTTTTACCTCATAATTTTGTTCATGATTATTTATAAACACAACGAATTTTCATAAAAATTTTTTGAAAATTGAAATCTGAGCTTATGGCACCCAGACTTAAATTACATTTTAAGGAACTCAAACTAGTGGCTGGAGAGATGCCTCAGTGGTTAAGAGCACTGCCTGCTCTTGTAGAAGACTGGGGTTCAAATCCTAGCACCCACATGGCAGCTAACAACCATCAGTAACTCCAGTTCCAGGGGATCGGACGTCCTTTTCTGGCCTCTATGGGCATAGCACAAAATGGGTGCACTTGCATACATGCAGGCATGACATTCATAATAAAAATAAATACATTTTAAGCAGCTATTTTAAAAACCCTTCAAAATTGTGATTTTTTTTCACTATTTTGTTATATAAGTAGATATTTTGTTTTAGTAGCTAGGGAAGGTCCTAGCCATATTAAATGTGAATAGCTCGGCTACAAAGCTTTAAAATAATTGATTAAACTAATTAATTATAATACTGTCTTTAATTCATTATAATATTGAAAAATGACTAGAATTTTATTTTGCAAAAATAAATAGTTCAAATAGGGAGCTGAGTATGAGAAAGAATTATTCTGAGGTCAGCAAGAAGCCTCATATGGTAAATGTATTTGCTTCCAAGTCTGATGACCTGAGTTTAATTCCCAGGACCTACATGGTAGGAAGAGAGAACTGAGTCCTGCTTAATATTCTTCTGACCTACACAACATTGCTCTGGGACGTACCTGTGCACGTGCGCACACACACACACACACACACACACACACACGAAAAGTGTGACAAAATGCTTTCAAGTTATTCTGGATTATTCAAAGTTAATATCCAAATATCTCTAAAGTCATTCAAATTATTTTGCTGAAAATTTTGTGGGAAATTTTTAGTAATCTTATTAGTATGTCATGCAGATCTTAACTTACTAATATGAAGCTTAAATACATTTTTACATAATTATCTTAGTTTGTGATTTGCTATATCTCTTAATTTATATTTACTTTGAGCATGTTTCCTGCGAGATACAAACATATGTATTTACTTTGTTTTGTAGCACTGGAGATTGAGCTAAGCAAGTGCTTTATAACCCTCTGGGTTATATTTTATTATAACTAGAGATGGAGTTTTTCCCTCTGTTGTTGATTTTTATCTTGGACTGGGTTAATGTCCATTTTTCTAAATCTAGTGGTGTATTAATATGTCATTCTCCCTAATTAAACATACATGTCTCATTAAATGCATATGAATGCAGCAAACAGAATCTCTTAATTTATGTTTCTATAATTTTATTTCATTCTTTTGAAACCAGATTTTATTTTCAGATGAAAGCAAACAGTCATAAATGTAGAACTTAAAATTAACTTAAAATGCCTAACACTGAAAGTGAATGATGAGAAACTATACTGATTGGAATACATAATAAAAAATATTGGCAACAATATGACTTGAAGAAATAATAAAATAAAAAATAAGTGTGAAGGAAAAATAAAAACTTAAAGAATAAAGTTTTCCTGCTTTGTCTGCTTTTATGTAAAAATTTGATTCTCAGATGTTCTTTAGTGAAAAAAGACATGTTAAATTGGAAATATACCATTTGAATAGTAACAAAGATTAATATAGTCTTTCATTTGATATTCTTTAAGAACTGCAAAATAATCTGAAACTGAAATATTGACATGTTTAAAATCCTACCAAATGTCCTAGGCATAATTTCAGAATCAAAGTATATTTTAAATGCCCAGGAAGGTAATTATTTTCTTTCCTTAGATTTGATGCTGTTATAAAGCAAGAATCATGCTATGTTTCACTTATCAGTGTTAATAGTGAAGATTTTCTTATTGTTTTATTAATTTTATTTATAATGTATAGATTTATTTGTTTGATTGTTTGTTTGTTTTATATAGAATCTCCCTGCAGCCCTAGCTGGCCTGGATCCCACTATGTAGAACAGGCTACCTGGATCTCACAGAAATCTGCCTGCCTCTGCCTCCCAAGTACTCATACTAAAGGCGTGTGCCCCTACTCCCATAATGTAGAGTTTTAAAAGCTGGGACTGGGATTTGGTAGTAGAATGCTTGTGTCGTTTACATGAAATCCTTGGTTCTATCCCTAGTCCCGACTCCCCCAAATCTAATATATTCTATTCAGATTATCTTGTGACTTTATTAGTAAAGCAGTGTTGTGGTATTTTGTGGTATTTAGCTTTAAAGGTTTTAATGTATCAATGTGCTTTTTTAGGTTATAGGTTGAGTCCTCAAACTTTAGCTGCTATTGTGAAACGCTACAGCAAGAATGGCAGAATTTTCTTTGATGACTATGTTGCTTGCTGTGTGAAGCTTCGAGCCCTGACAGGTACTGAATAGTTAAAAGTAGATCCAATTTTATGTGCTTATTTTTCTTTAATAGGGTCTGTTTCTTTCAGAAAATTTGTTATAATGTCTTCTCTTTGCTTACTGTGACATCTGAACAATCTTAAGTCTTTAAATATATAATATAAATAGACATCTGAATAGCTGTTTTACAAAGTTTTCTTCATGCTCAGTTTCCTAGAGTATTAAGACAGGTTGAAGTTAAATGAGTATTATATGCTTAGTCATAGTACATGGAGACATTAGGTATTGGAAATTGCTGATTTTCCATTGTAATTTGAAGATGTAATTTCTTTGTTTAAAGACTTCTTTAGGCGAAGGGACCACTTGCAGCAAGGGTTTGTGAATTTCATATATGAAGACGTGAGTATTCTATATACATTTTGCTAATTATACCATGTTCTTGATTATCAAAAACATTAAATGATGTGGGCTGGTGACATGGTTTAGCATGTAGGCCTTTGCTGCCAAGCCTGATGGATGGCCTGAGTTCAATCCCTGGGACCCATGTCAGGGAAGTAGAGAACCAACTCTAAAAAATTATCCTCTGACCTCTGCATGAGCTCCATGCATTCATTCATGCTCATGGTCACACACACACACACACACACACACACACACACACACACACAATTTAAAAAAAAACCTGAATGAAATAGTATATTTTTATATACTGTATTATTTTCTACAGTTTTTATTAATGCAAATATAAGATTCAGCATTGGTATAAATATTAATTTATTTTATATAAAATCTATATATACCCTGATAGCTTATGAAAGGTTTTTGGCAGTTTATTTTTCCAGTCATTTTGAGGGTAAACAGTAATATTTTTATAAGGTATTGTTAATTTTTGCTTATCTGTTTCTGAGAGAAAATATTTTTGTCTAACAAATTATAAAGCTGCTTATTTCTCTTTGAAAATATATACCATGAAGCTAATTCCAGTTGTTTTAAAACAACTGCAGGAAGTGGTAGTTCACATGTGCTTTAATATTTAGGGGTATTTGTGTTTATTATATTTATTTATGGAAGTTACAATCAACAGTACCTTACTAGTACTTATGAGTTTAAACTATAAGCCTTAGAAACAAAGCTTCGTTTCTTATGAAAAAGTTACTAAGGACTGTCTATTTAAAACAATTAAAAACCACTTTGCTGTTGCCATATTATTAATGTACTGATATTTTAGTTTTTGCAGGGCACTATGACAATTTGAATACCTGGAATTCAAAAGGTGAAGAAATGCTGTGAATCCTTTTGCTTGCTTAAAATGGGCTAGACTATGTAAACTGAAAAGTTTGCAGTCTTTTATATTCCTGTTAATGTTCTTCCCTTTCTGTGATTTTCATCAGTTGAATGGAATAGAAAACATGCCCTTTTATTTGGGATGTTTTGCAAAAGTTATCACATTGCAGGTATGCACATGCTATCATCAACTGTTCCTATTAATATATAGCTAATTGACATTGGTACATCTGAGCCTTAGGGTTATATTTTTTTAACAATAAAAGCCTATAGGAATGTACTAACATCACAGATCACATAAGAACAAAATAATGAAAGTCTAGATAAAGCAATGCTTATCTAAAAAGTACAAATTATACTTTTGATTTTGTTCATGTTTGTTGGTGTTGGAGAGTCAGCTAGAAGAGGAAGTCTAGACTTGATTTTATGCTGTTGTAATAGAGTTTCTTTAATCATATCATCAGAGAACATAACCTTATGTTCTCTGCCTGTGAAGAAGAAAATAGTAGTTCTTGAAATTTTATCCTAACTTAAGTCTATAATGAAGTAAGAGTACAGTAGTCATTGTTTTACCTTTAAATTTTTTTATCATTGCTTTTTGTTCTTAAATATATTAGTACCTTTGATAGACCACCTCTTTTTCATGTACTTTAATTGAATATCCTCTAGGTGTTTAAGGAAAACTTCTACTTTTGTTCAGCTTGTTTCATAAGGCAGAGTTTTACTATGTAGCCCAGGCTGGCCATAAACTTGTGATCTTCCTTAGCCTCTCCAAGTACTGAGATACCAGGCTTGCACCCCTGATCCGTTCCAGAAAGTCTTAAAAGAAGTGTAGCATTGCTGTCTGCTTTGTTTTGCTAGCAAAGGCATAGATAATCTGAAGTACCATCTTTCTTTAAATATTCTTTGGAAATGACTCATTTTTTTTAATTGAAGAAACTTTTTTTTTTGCTTTACTTTTAAATATTATGCATTTGCATGTATTGCGTGCATGTATGCACTTACACCCATCCCATGCAATGCCCGCAGAGAACAAAAGGTGTTGAACGAATCCCCTGGAGCAGGAGTTATGGATGGTTGTTAGCCACCATATGGGTGCCGGGATTTGAACCCAGGTTTTCTGCAGGAACGGCCAGTGCTCTTAACCCCTGAGTCATTTCTCCAGCCCTGGAAACAAAACATTTTAATTAAATGTGGGCATTCATATTTGTTCTGTTCAACTGAGGTGATGTTCCTAGGTAACACAACAATTTATAAAGTTGATACAATGCAACAGTTTCTAAAATTGAGAAAAATCAAGTAATCTGCCACCGTTTAAATGCTCAGAAATCCTATGATGATTGACAGTGTGGACTGGTGGCTTTGGTTTTCCTGAGTCAGTAAGTGTCTTGATTTTCTCTGTGTAAAAGAGGTCCAAAGCTTGGGAAACTCGATAAGGGCATTTCCTGGGGAGATTTTCTGCAGAAATTGCAAGTGGTCACCAGTCTTCTGAAGTAAATCCCCTAGCTTAAGATGTCAGAGTTGATAGACCACCTCTTTTCCATGTACTTTAATTGAATATCCTCTAGCTGAAAGCAAATAAGTACAGACATAGTTTTAGTATAGCTAGTGACCAAATTAATGATTTTTTTTTTAAAAAAGAAAAACTCCACATTTTCTGCAGAAGACCCCTTTTATAAAGAAATTTAAATCAGTTTTACAAATCCAGTAAAGAAAATTATGTGAAATCATTTTGACATCGATTATTTTTTATAATTTGCTGTCACATTCACTTGATCACTTTAGTAAAAAATGGGTCAATAAATAAAAAATAATTTATACTCATTGTGCTCTGTTTTTTATGAACATATATTGATAATATGAAAGAGAAAAAAGTATTGATAATGTGAAAGAAAATTAATGGACCAATAAAATGTACAGACTCTAAAGTTGTAGTAGAAAAAAGTAGTCACATTATGATATATTATTGAATAATGTACACAGTTAATGTATAAGTGCTTTTATTTATACAGTAAACATGTTTCCATGTCATTTTGAGAATTTTTTAATAAACATTCAAATAGCTTGCTGTAAAGTTTTGTATCATACAAAATTTGTTACATATATATTATGATGAGATGCTTCAGTTCAAACAACAGTGCATTAATTCAGCTACTATCTAAGATTGCCAAATGATTAAATGTTAGGTATTGCACTTCTATTTTGAGTGGCAGTTTACACATTTTAAATTACATCAAGGGAAATCAATACTATGGGAATCTTAATTTGGTCCACTTTAAATGTAATTTTAAGGACTGTGCTCATTAACCTATTTTAAGCATGCATCCAGAAAAAAGTAACA